CGGATGCTGCTGCAACGGCAAATGCTGCGACTCCGGCGACTGCTGCAAGGGCGGAAAGTGCACGTGCAAGGACTGCAAGTGCACTCCTGCCAACAACTGCGGATGCTGCTGCAATGGCAAATGCTGCAATGCCGGCGACTGCTGCGAGGGCGGAAAGTGCACGTGCAAAGACTGCAAGTGCACTCCTGCCAACAACTGCGGATGCTGCTGCAATGGCAAATGCTGCAATGCCGGCGACTGCTGCACGGGCGGAAAGTGCACGTGCAAAGACTGCAAGTGCACTCCTGCCAACAACTGCGGATGCTGCTGCAACGGCAAATGCTGCGACGCCGGCGACTGCTGCAAGGACGGAAAGTGCACGTGCAAAGACTGCAAGTGCACTCCTGACAAAAACTGCGGATGCTGCTGTAATGGCAAATGCTGCAACTCCGGCGACTGCTGCAAGGGCGGAAAGTGCACGTGCAAAGACTGCAAGTGCACTCCTGACAACAACTGCGGATGTTGCGACTCCAGCGACTGCTGCAAGGGCGGAAAGTGCGCTTGCAAAGACTGCAAGTGCACTCCTGCCAAAAACTGCGGATGCTGCTGCAATGGCAAATGCTGCAATTCCGGCGACTGCTGCAGCGGTGGAAAGTGCACGTGCAAAGACTGCAAGTGCTCTCCTGACAACAACTGCGGTTGCTGCTGCAACGGCAAATGCTGCGACTCCGGCGACTGCTGCAAGGGCGGAAAGTGCACGTGCAAAGACTGCAAGTGCACTCCCGACAACAACTGCGGATGCTGCTGCAACGGCAAATGCTGCGACGCCGGCGACTGCTGCAAGGGCGGAAAGTGCACGTGCAAAGACTGCAAGTGCACTCCTGACAACAACTGCGGATGCTGCTGCAATGGCAAATGCTGCAATGCCGGCGACTGCTGCAAGGGCGGAAAGTGCACGTGCAAAGACTGCAAGTGCACTCCTGCCAACAACTGCGGATGCTGCTGCAACGGCAAATGCTGCGACGCCGGCGACTGCTGCAAGGGCGGAAAGTGCACGTGCAAAGACTGCAAGTGCACTCCTGACAACAACTGCGGATGCTGCTGCAACGGCAAATGCTGCGACTCCGGCGACTGCTGCAAGGGCGGAAAGTGCACGTGCAAGGACTGCAAGTGCACTCCTGACAACAACTGCGGATGCTGCTGCAACGGCAAATGCTGCGACTCCGGCGACTGCTGCAAGGGCGGAAAGTGCACGTGCAAGGACTGCAAGTGCACTCCTGACAAAAACTGCGGATGCTGCTGCAACGGCAAATGCTGCGACGCCGGCGACTGCTGCACGGGCGGAAAGTGCACGTGCAAGGACTGCAAGTGCACTCCTGCCAACAACTGCGGATGCTGCTGCAATGGCAAATGCTGCAATGCCGGCGACTGCTGCAAGGGCGGAAAGTGCATGTGCAAAGACTGCAAGTGCACTCCTGCCAACAACTGCGGATGCTGCTGCAACGGCAAATGCTGCGACGCCGGCGACTGCTGCAAGGGCGGAAAGTGCACGTGCAAAGACTGCAAGTGCACTCCTGACAACAACTGCGGATGCTGCTGCAACGGCAAATGCTGCGACTCCGGCGACTGCTGCAAGGGCGGAAAGTGCACGTGCAAAGACTGCAAGTGCACTCCTGACAACAACTGCGGATGCTGCTGCAACGGCAAATGCTGCGACACCGGCGACTGCTGCAAGGGCGGAAAGTGCACGTGCAAGGACTGCAAGTGCACTCCTGACAACAACTGCGGATGCTGCGACTCCGGCGACTGCTGCAAGGGCGGAAAGTGCACATGCAAAGACTGCAAGTGCACTCCTGCCAACAACTGCGGATGCTGCTGCAATGGCAAATGCTGCAATGCCGGCGACTGCTGCAAGGGCGGAAAGTGCACGTGCAAGGACTGTAAGTGCACGTGTGTCGACCGCGAGAGCCCTTCGGGTGACAGTGGCAGTGCCGATGACGGCGGCTACGGCTGCAGCTGCGTGTGAGCGCACTGAGCGGAATCCGCGCGGCGAACCACTGCGGACGCCGGCGGACGCGGACGGCTGTGAGCGGAACCGGAGGCGCTGGCCAGCTCCGGTCGCCAGTGGCGGAGGCGCGTGAGAAGCGCACCTCCGTGCTGCTGTGTTCAGGATTAACCCCGGAGTTTGGATTGCTCACAGTACCTCGCAGTTGAACTGCCCTAGGAGATAGATCGCACCCGATTAGAGTCTGGTCACAATCGGAGCGGCGTTATATTTTTATAGCTCGGCCGCCCCCCAATCACAATGCAGCTGAAATGTGAGGGCCGTTTTGTGTATATTGCCAACAGTACTGTATGCCAGCGTGTACGCTTGCCAAATATTACTCGCATGTTGTGGGGGCTTTGGAAGCCCTATTGTGTCGGAGCATATCAGTCGTTTGCGGGTTTAAACGTCTCAACCTGGTGCGCCCGTTAGTATAGACGGGTGAGCGGCTGTTTCGTGTCGGAAGCCATGACAGAGACTGTCCTTGTTGGGCTTGAGAGCCCTCAATTATTATATACTTGTCATATATGTACGGTTTGTCAATAAATGTTGGAAAAATATACCACACCGTCTGTTAACACGCGCCTTGCTGGGGGTGTTTGAACACCCACCCCTGCGGTTTTTCACGAATATCGTTTTGTTTTTGGCACACCTTATCATACAACTTTTCTACATATGTTGTTCGGACCAAGGTCGCTTAAGGTCAGGTCAGGTCACCAGGTCAGGCCAAGTGACCTCACTGCATACAAAGTTTCAATGTCTGCCATATCTACACCGAGTGACCGATCGCTTTGAAAATTTCAGTGATTGATAATAGCAGCAGTATGTACAAAATTAATATCTTGGAATTTTGATATCGGTGAACTAAGGTCAGGTCAATTTTGCGACCTCCCCATTATAAGAAGAAAAATGAAAGTCGCCTCTTTTAGACGAAAGCAATTATAAACACTCTAAAACACTGAATTAGTAGTGTCTTTGACACACTAAACATGAAAAGGGCACCCGTGACCCCTTTTTATGACCCCGAGGTCATCTCAGGTCACCAATGATATCTGACAGTTTTTGGCGAATAACTTTTGATAGAGGCATACTAGAGCGATGAAAACACCTTAGTTATGTTTGGCTCGACGATACAGATCGACTGATATGCAACTTGATCCTTACCGGTCAGGTTATGACCTTGACCTGAGGTCAAATTTTCAAGTTGACCTTTCAAGATCAAGTGATACTTAAATCAACGCGTCTTCACGAGAGGAACACGATGCTGGTAAAACAAAGTTCGTGCAAGGTTTGAGTCAAAAGTTATTGCAGAAAAACTGTTTCCGAAAAAATCGCCTATTTTGGCAGTTGCCCCTGCAGGCAAAACCGTTGACAGTAGGTCAAATCGAGGGAATTACTCAGATAGATCGTTAATAGAGCTAGCAAATGCGCCTTTTCGTGGCGCTGTAGCTTTATTACGTTCCGAGCTGTGCGTCGATTTGTTAAAAATTGTTGAAATCTGACTTACAAATCGGCGAATTTTGGCCTTCAATGACCTCTGGTGACCTGACCTTTAACCTGACCAAAAAACGAAGTGATTTTTTCCTTACTTTTGACGCCTTTTCGAACGCCACCTTTCTCGTATCGTTACGTGGCCCAGGAGACAGGCCCAGCATGGCGTGGAAATCTAGGACCCCCAGCGGGGCGCGGGTTAACTAACGACCAAAGATAAAGATGCAAAAGCCAGATGGCATGCTGGTCCATTGCTCAAACGTCACTATGATTCACAATAATGATCGTAAAAACCACTAGACCGTGTTGAAAAGTCTGAAAATATGGGCATCCGTTTATTCAAATGCACACGGCACACAGTTCGGAAAAGGGTATAGACGAGCATGCGACTAAAATGATATGAAGCATTACAAACGAGTGAAAAACTAGGCATACCCTGCTATTGTTCACAATCGGAATAGGCAATGACAGAAGCAGCTGCACCACAGACAGCAACACAACAAGAGCGGCTGACTGGCCTAAGTGGAACGATGAGAGCCAGCAAGGAACGCAGCGGATAAACGTGAGCACGACTGTAAAATATCGCCTCGAGCGACTTCGAGGGAATCATTCTGAATGAATAAAATGGGTTATAACTAGAGATGTCAAACGGATACCAACTTTTTGGTATACCGACACCAAACCGATACCAACTTGCTTTTTGGTATTTTAATCCTAACGTGTTTGGTATTTTGTTGGTATTATGAAATCTCACTAATGTACCTATAAGATGCCGAGGAATTGGTAAAAAAGTTGGTATTTTCCTCATGTTCCCAAGTTGGTTCGGTTTCGGTATTTCCTCACGATTTTGATTGGTGTTTGGTTTGGTATCGGTATTCCGATTTTCTGTAATTGACATCACTAGTTATAACAGACTCCAAAGATGTTCCATTGTTAGGTGACTATCTTATATGCTTCGTCGAGCATTTAATCTTTTTTAAAGCAATAATACGGATCGCCTGCCAAACCTAGACCGGACGGGTCAACGTCTGTCTTGGGCCGGCGATGAGCCAAGCAGCTCTGAGGTATACCTGCCGCCACGGTACACGACTGCCACCTGGTGGTCAGCCACCGAGGCTCCGGCTCAGCGGCCGGTCACTGCTGCCCTCTAGTGGCTAAACTGGCGACTGATCACCTGCAGAGCTACGTCTAACGGGCGGCTCAATTTCGAGGTTCACTTTCCTAGACCAAGGACGGGTGATATTGTGGTATTGGGACCTTGGAAAAAAAGGTTCCACTAGACCCGTGAACAAATGAATCAGAGACGGTGCGTCGGTGCATGCAGGAGCCCTCCCTCACGGTCCCGGCAGAAGTGGCCCCCGGGCCCCGGGACTCACTGAGGTCGGCAGAAGTGGCCCCCGGGACTCACTGAGGTCGGCAGAAGTGGCCCCCGGGCCCCGGGACTCACTGAGGTCGGCAGAAGTGGCCCCCGGGCCCCGGGACTCACTTAGGTCGGCGAGAGCGAAGACGATGTTCAGCACGGCTTTCTGCACGTTGTACTGCGTCTTCTTCTCCAGCTTGTGGCGCGGCTGCAGCAGCGGCAGCAGGCGCGGGATCACGTTCTCCTTCAGCAGTCGCCGACGGTTCATTCCTGAAGACACAGAGGCAGCGGCGGCGGTGAAATGATGAAAGGGTCGTGAAAAGAAGGGATGCAGCTCTGTTGGAGGTAAAAAAACATAAAATGACCCCAGAAAGACGTCCTCTTTCTAATCGCCTCTAGATTGCATTGGCGCTGCTACAAGTTTTTTATCATAAGAAATGGTTCGGTGCTAATGCCATAAGGACCATTCATATTTTTTAATCCCAGAATGACTGACAGAACACAAAAGAAGCAGCTGCAAGAAAGTTCGGTGTGATGCAATAAGGTAGCGTAACGGCATACCTCCATATGCCCATGATACTGAAAACGACATCTAAGCTATGGTCTTATTAACGAGGTAAAAAAAAACACACACACACACACACACACATTCATAGCGATCCAAGAATAAATGACTCAGTTCCGTGCGCCGCCCGTAGCCACCTCTATGACTCTCTGAACAAAAGTCGGTCTGTCAGCCCCCCCCCCCCTTCCACTGGGCGTGGTCGTTTACTCTACAGAGCATCAGTCCCCTCCCGCTCTCTCCAGGCTGGGGATAGACGTGACCCACCACTGCAGGGCGGGGGGAGGAGGGAGTGGGAGAGGGAGGGGTCACGACTTGGATTGGTCCTGGATCCAGTCCAGCCGGCCAGGTGGTGGTGGTGGGGGGGGGGGGGGGACAGTCAACACTGCAGCCGACTGTTGCCCCTCACACCGGCCCCGAGTGGGCCCACACTGCGAATGGCTCTGATGATGGGTTTTGTGGCTCTGTCCGCGGTAGCGGAGGTTGACGTTGGAGACCGGATGTTATGGTGTGTCCCGCTTCTCACTAAAGTAAAGTTCACGACTGAGAGTAGTGAGGGATGGAGACAAGAGTAAAACAAACAGAGCTTTAACAGAACGGTCCACAAACGATACAGGAGTCAGTATCTTGACAGACGACATATTGTCATGGTTATCTCCGTAGTTAGTTCCCTGTCGGTACATCAAGCACGTAACAGAGCAGAGTATGACATATACGAGCACACATTGTCCATGAAAAACAGCAACGACACCTCCGCAACACTTGGTGGTAGACACACAACAGCACACTGAAACACTCCGCAATAAATAACATCACAGCAATTACTAATGAGAACACCTGCTCGGTCAATCACGCATATAAACGCGGGGTCCTGGCACTCTCACAGTCGCCGCGCTAAATTCATCCGACAGGCCACTGTTTCTGCAGCGGCTCGTAAATAATTAACCAGCCCACCGGATCAGACACACAACGCCCGGTGAGGGCGGCGAGTGGGAGTTATAACTCGGGACGTAACTCACCAGACTCGGGACGTAACACGCCAGACTCGGGACCTAACTCACCAGACTCGGGACGTAACTCACCAGCTCGGGACGTAACTCACCAGACTCGGGACATAACTCACCAGACGCGGGACGTAACTCACCAGACTCGGGACGTTACTCACCAGCCGGCCACAACCGGTGGTCGAGTAAACACGATGGTAATTGGCGAGAGGTGTCCGAGGCAGACGGCTCAGATCCCTCCGCTCCCTCCCCACACTTCCGACTTCCCGGAGGGAGGGAGGGTGGGATCGTGACTGGACAAAACCAGCTACCTCACAGACAGCGGCAGCTGCAATCCCTCCCCTTCCACGCCTCCCCAGCAGGTCTGACTCGGCACAGCCGCTCGATACCGGGTACCACCGCCACCGGCTACTGTCGGTCAAACTCCTCCCAAACTCTCCACTCCGGTCCACTCACTATTTCTGATGAGTCGCGCCGTGCACTCTAGCGTCAGCTGCTGTTTGAGTCCGGACATGTTCCAGAGGTGGGGCACCAGGCGACAGAGGTGTTCTACCGCTTCACCGCGGCCCAAGACAGAGACGTTCTGGTCTGTGGGGCGACCGAGGGCGGGCGTCAGAAAGATCGATGTTTGAGAGCGGAGACGAGAGTCAGTTCCAGCTCGAGCGGGTGTGTTGCTCATATTAAGAAAAAAGGTTTAGAAATAAAACATGCGTGTTAACCGTCGTTACTTGTCGTTGATCGTCGTCGTTACTCCGAAATAATCATTAAGTCAACGTAACGGAGCAAAAGCGTATTTCACTAAGAGTGATCCACTTTTTCAGCATGAAAGTGATACATAACATTAAACGGACCGGCGCAGCGTCACAATGTGCAGCTTCGTCATACAGCTGAACGGACACACCTTCAATCAGCGCCAACGGATAAATGAGCTCTCAGACAGCAGTTCAGCCGAGCGATATCCGACCCCAGCGCTTCCCTAATCCCCTCTCACCGTTTCCGGCGGCCAGTTTGACGCACTGCAGTGCCGGGACGCAGATGCGGCACTTTTGGGCGTTATCCTGGAGCCGGCGGAGCAGCACCTTCAGACCGCCGCACAGACGGAGACGGACCGCAAACCGTGGGTCTGTGAAATAGCACAACAACATCAGAGCCAGTCAGCGCCGCACACGGACGTCGGACAGCGAACCGCGGGTCTGCGGTACATTCAGGAGCGGGTCAGAGCAACACCAGGGGCAGGGATGGACGGGAGACCGCAGGTCTGCGACGGCCAAAGGTTATATCAGAGGCAGGGAAATGATTAGGGCTAGAGAGCTGTTCAGAAAAAAAAAAACAATAAACAAGAGGGGAGACCGAAAAAGCATGAAAGCAGAGAGTAGACGGACTATGCAAATGGACTAACCACACTCGGCAAGGTGGGCGGGTTGGGACCATGTAAATACAAGAGATCCGCAGTGATATGCAAGGCAGCCTGGCTTTGCAGTCCATATTGCGCGACAAAGAGATGATTCAATCCAGAAGCATGACAATCGAGACGCTACAAGGCATTCAAGCTGACGATAAATGATGACTGATAAACGATCCGTATGTCACATAAGGTGCAGTTATATGTTTCGCGACTGACGTCTATTGCCCACTGCGTCGTCCCTGTCTGTTGTGTTTGACAGGAGCCGTTCAATACGTCTCCATCTAACGTTCGGAGCGGCCATAAAACCTCCCAGTCAGTCGGTCGGGCTGGATCGAGCGTGTCGGGGCGGACTCACCCTTTTTCCCGATCTTGTAGAGTATAGTGTAGAGCGCGGTGACGGTCTGGTACTGTTGGCTGGCCGGGCCCAGCGAACGGAGGGAGGCCACCACCACCTCCGTACCGCCCGAGTCCGTCAGACGACGGCACACCTCTCCTGTGCACTCTGAGGGAGAGGGGGAGGGTTAGACGACGGCACACCTCTCCCGAACACTCTGAGGGAGGAGAGGGGCGAGTTAGACAACGGCACACCTCTACCGAACACTCTGAGGGAGGAGAGGGGCGAGTTAGACAACGGCACACCTCTCCCGAACACTCTGAGGGAGGAGAGGGGCGAGTTAGACAACGGCACACCTCTACCGAACACTCTGAGGGAGGAGAGGGGCGAGTTAGACAACGGCACACCTCTCCCGAACACTCTGAGGGAGGAGAGGAAGTCAGACGACGGCACACCTCTCCCGAACATTCTGAGGGAGAAGAGGGGTGGGTCAAGACACATGCCTCTCCCGAACATTCTGAGGGAAGGAAGAGGAGAGAGGGGAGGGTTAGACGCCGGCACACTTCACCCGAACATTCTGAGGAAGGGAAAAGGGGAGGGGCGTTAAAGACACATGCCTCTCCCGAACACTCTGCGAGAGGGAAACTGTGGATCAAAAGCGTGGGGTCAAGAATTATAATTTAAACCTAAAATTTCAGAGGTAAATGACCCGGATAAGTGCACAGATCTGATGCTTTGTTAGACAGAGTTCGTCCATCCACCACGCAGAGCACCATTCAGGCAACCCACATAGCCCTCATAAGGACGGCTGACCTCGGCCGCTGCTGGCACCAGGGCGGGTCCCAGTTCACACATCCCCACTGCCCCCCCCCCCCCCCCCACACACACACCAACCAAACGCGTACCCATAGATAGCTGGCAGCGCGCGTGCAAGGGGCGAACCAGGGCGGGTGCTGACGTCATCCCGGACCGGTTAACTCCAGGCTGGCGAGAGGCGGGACGGGTTGAGGTCTGCTGAGTGTGCCAGCCAAGTGTGAGGGTCGTATCGCACCGTCACGGCTCAGCAGAACTGACACACACCAACCCTGCCGGCTCTCAACAACACCCACATCCGAGAGTCCGCTGCCAGGGCGGGCGCGCAGATGATCAGAGACCACCTGTTCTTTAAGCGTCAACAACGAACCGCGAACGGCGGGGATCTGGGCCGGGGATTTATCGGCCAGTTCGGGGACCCGAGATTTATCGGCCGAGGTAATATTAGCTCGTTTTAGCGGAGACCCGAGGTTGATGACGCTGTTACTGGTCAGGTTATGAGGACCCACTTCACTCGACTAGGTACGCAATGGCAGTTTGATTTTTCAACATGAAATTAGACGTCGCACGTGAAAATAACGTGTGGTTGTAGGTAACAGCCTAACGTTTCAGCTGCGCTGTCATTTCAACCGAAGATACTTTCAACAATGCATATCAATTCAGGCAATAGTAATGTCCAGAAAACCGCGAGCCTACTCAGCTCTTATCTACAGCTAACATTCTGGGGCTCTCTGACGCTCTCTAGAGCACCCAGGCCAGTGAGACTCGCGCAGTTCATTGCTCTGAGCTGAGTAGTTGCCATTTTATCGTCCCACGGAGCAGCCAGAGACGCGCCACGCCGAGTGTGTAGCGTGACGGTGTTTGCACGCAGCTCCTCAGTAGCTGGCAGCGCCGCCCACACCACTCGGAATCCGACCTCGCGTTATACACTCACCACACAGTTACCGCTAATTACAGCTGGCCGTCGTCCCGGTCTCCGCCCTTCGTTCACTGCCCATCTCAGACAGATTGCAATCGTCACTCAGTGTCTTTACTCTTTGCCTCCTGATCACTACTTAGTGTTAATCACCCACTTAGTGTTAATCGCCCCCGCCCACAGACAATCACTATATTCTGCCTCAAACTGCCTGAGGTAGAATCAAACAAGGCAAAGAGTTGCTGCTATTCGATGCTCTGTTTTATGCGACATATTTTAGCAATATGTCTGTCACAGTTGCCGTGACGGATCCACGTCGCACATCCATCCAGCTCTTTTAGAATGTGACGGCAAAACATCCTGCAGTACGATCCGAGTGTGAAGCGTGCCAACTAAGAGCGTCTCCGGATTGAAGCCTCCCCAGAATGTCGTTGTCGTGGAACGCTTGTCCCGTGGTTTGTGTTCCGCGGCGAAGTGGTGACGTTTTAACGACGGTGCAAAGACAGTAACGACGGTCGCCCGCCGGCAAAACAGCCCGGGAGTTGGACCCCGCAGGGTCACAGCGGGGCACAGTGGGGAGGGGGGGGGGGGCACAACAGAACACCGTCACCGAGCCAAGGCCGCTACTCTGCCAGCCTCCTTCGTTACGGTACATCTGTCCGAGCTGCCAGAGCTGAGCTGCCGCAGCTAACGGAGGAGGATCAGCGTCAGGCACACGGTGTTTTGAACACGAGGCTGGCAGCCGGCAGCTAGCTTTCTCGGCCTGTTGTGTAAGTACCGTCCCACACGGTCACCTGTTACGATAACACACACACTGCACTGGGTGAAACTGACGAGCCGGGGAGGCGCGGTGTGCGGCGGGCGCCGCGCCAGCAGATTGCATCAAACAACAACGGGAGTAAAGCGGTTCGATCGGTGGATAACCATCTGAACTTCAGGTAACTTGGCAGCGATCAGTGAGGGATCAGGAGAGACCAGCAGTGCGTGCATTAGACAAAGATTAATGACGTGGGAATGGTTCTGAGTTGACACTGAACTTCAAAACAAAGGGATCAAAAATACAATACTCCGCCCGCAAAAATGTAAAACACAGACAAGACGACAAATGCAAAACACACTCGCCGCAATCAAGCTCGACGGAAGGTGTCAACAAGCGGTTCTCACCTTTGTCTTTGAGACACTCGGCGAGCACGTTGGTGAGATGGACTAGACTCTGTGTGTCTGAGACACCCTGAAACAGACAAGACGTCAAGAGAGAACACAACACCGTCAGCAGAAAAGGCAGTACCCACTGGAGAGTTAACAGAGAACATAGTGAACTCAGAGAACACAGTTCACCGAACACAGACTACCCGGTCAGCACAAGACACAGCACACCGCTGTACGACTCTGACGGACAGACTGCATCAGCGCGGCGGTCAGAACAGAGCCCCGCTGTTGATGGGGCTGTTTGTCACTTCCATCAACACCACAGAGGCCGGCGCTAGAGACTCAGAGACCTCTCTGACGTCTCACTAAATACCTCGCTGAAAGACGAACGCTAACGGGAGATGATAAAGGGATGTAATAGCACCCTGGACGACAGAGAGGCTCGTGGGGAGAGATCCTCACGGCAAATGTTCAGCAAGGGAGTAGGTAGCTTGGCACAGAGAGGCATCTACCTAAATATTCAGCAAAAATATTTCACAAGAAAACATTTCTTTTATTATTTTCCGGTGCTGGCTTGCGTTTTGTTATCAAAATAATTTGCTTCAATGTAGATACACTGCATTAAGTTAAAATCATCTCCTCTTGCTCGGGTTTCATCAGCAGGCAAAATGTTATGATTCTGAACACAATTATAGCTCACAATTGATTTAACCGCATTTTCTGCAAATAATTGCATTGATCACTACAAGACAACAACAGACGCAAACGATTTACACCCCGGAACATCACAACATCAGTGAGTCACCGGTTCTAATGTTACAAACATCTGTACAACTCAAGTCAAACGATATAAACCACCTGTGAGAATTGTGTCCATGACACTGCTCCATGCCAGCGGCCCCCAGCCAAAAACAGCAGCCACCAGCGACCGATATCGATCACCTGTGCCCGGCGATAAATCCATCTTTCGATAGGTGCGGCCGCCCTGGACCTCCCGGCGGGCTACCCACCCAGCTGCGGGTACCGACTCGAAGGAGGGAGGGCTGCTCTGTGATTTACCGGCCCGCCGACCCGATCCACTGGCCCGGCTCCACGGCAAACAGAGGAGACAGTTTGTCGCTGGATGTGCCCGGGGATCCATCACCCCACGGGCGGTCGGGGAGACCCCAGCCTGGCGGCCGATCACAGGTGACTGTCGACGGTATATGACCCACCCCCGGGGGGAGGGGTGGGGGGTCGTCCCCCGGCCGTCCCGCCCTGCCGAGCAGCCTACCGACCGACTGACGGCGGCGGTGTAACAAAGGGCCGCCAGCCAGTCTGTCGGCTCTGGGTGACGTACTCAGACAGCCCCCCACCGCCCGCCGCCCGCCGCCCACCGCCCACCACCCGGGAGCGCGGAGCCAACACAAACCGGGGCGGGCGCTCGGCCGTCCGCCCCCAGCGGCGTCGGTCCGGACGGTAACAGCCCGCCGACAGACCCCGCTGCCGGTGGCGGCCGCGGAGGAAACATGGACACTGGACAGACGGGAGGCGGAGAGGGGAGACAGGGCCGGAAACGGCAGACACGGAGCTGTGGCACGGCACGAACCCAAAACACGGCGCCAGTGATTGATTGAACGAAAATATAACAACTGAGGAAGCTCAAAATGAGCCTACGTGTCTGCATCGCTATGTGAGATGTTTTGACACATTAAATCCCACAGCCGTTTGTAGCACGTTCCACATTCGTCAGTGTAGTCCGCTGAGGTGATACCAATGACCCCGGCGTCTCTACAGTCGGCCCGGGGTGGTGCCAACTGACACCGTCGGGCAGATGGACCCATCACGGCGCCGTCGGTGCCTGTCACTGCCTCTGGTGACGCCGCGGTTTAATGAACTCTGACCCGGGGAGGGGAGTGACACTGACTGAATGGTGTGAAGATGTCAGACTCATCCGGTGATACAGAGGCGACGTGGGAGTATCTGTGAGTTGTGACTGTCAGCTCACATCTAACAGTTTGGTAGGAATTTCAGACAGATCCGCGAAGAATTAGAACGTTTCAAAAAGAATTGAGACTAAGTAAGTCCGCATGGTAGCCAGTGACAGCCACTAGCCTAGATGTCACCCAAAAATATCACAAACGCCTTGGCAACGACGCATGTCCTACAAGCGAACACTCAACAACTCACTCTTGTTGTTGGACCTTAACAAATCCTGCTTATCTAACGAATAGTGTTTGTCTATTTCAAACAGCCTGCGGTTATGTTTAGCACAACAAAGCGACCATGGCCAAAAACTGAATGGGCTCTTGGCAGCGGCGCGTCGTTGTGCTTGGTGTCGGCCAGAACTGAATTGATCTTCATTGATAGTTAGCGACGCATCTCTGTGTGTGCCAGTGTTTAAACCTGCATATTGCTGCGCTGGTGTCGTTGACTGGCCCTCGTAGTGGAGAGATACCGTAGCGCGCACTGGCGTTTTTGACTGACCTTCATGGGGCGACGTAGCGCTGCACCAGCTGACCGTCCCCCGCCAGGAACAGGTCACACACTGACCGGCAGCCCGAGCAGCCTAAACAGAGGTCAGAGGTCAGAACAGCCTGAAACAGAGGTCAGAGGTCAGCACAGCCAGGAACAGGTCACAGACGGACCGGCAGCCCGAGCAGCCTGAAGCAGAGGTCAGAGGTCAGATGACAGGTCAACCGGGAACAGTGCTGGAAATGAGGCCGCTTTCTGGCCCCGGCGTTTTATTCTCCGGGTGGGTTAGCCCCGTCTAGCGCTTAGCCTTTCGGGACCCTCTCTGAGCCGCGGTTGTTTTCGCAGCCAGCCCCAGTCGAGATGCAAAATTAATAGTCACACGAAGTTTAATTGGGGCCTCTGAATATACGAATTCGAAATTAATCGATTCTACAAAACCTTTTTCTTTCATCTACATGCATACATTTAACAGTAACTCCAGACCAGGCTGGTTTGGCTGGCCCTAAATGAGCTTCGTGTGACTATTAACTTTGCATCTCGACTGGGGCGCGCGGCGAAAACAACCGGGACCCTGAGTGGGTCCCGAAAGGCTAAGCGCTGGACGGGATTAACCCGCCTGGAGAATAAAACGCCGGGACCAGAAAGCGGCCTCATTTCCAGCACTGACCGGGAACAGGTCACAGACTGACCGGCAGCCCGAGCAGCCTGAAACAGAGGTCAGAGGTCAGCACAGCCAGGAACAGGTCACAGACTGAGCGGCAGCCCGAACAGCCTGAGGGGAGAGAGCAGAGGTCAGTACAGACTGAAACAGAGGTCAGAGGTCAGCACAGCCTGAAACAGAGGTCAGAGGTCAGCACAGCCAGGAACAGGTCACAGACTGACCGGCAGCCCGAGCAGCCTGAAACAGAGGTCAGAGGTCAGAACACCGGAACAGATCACACACTGA